GATTAATGTGTGTGTTGATTATTTCTGGGCCAAAGAGACTTTCTAGCTTTGTTTTTCTGCAGTTTCAAAGGTTTGCTTTCAGGATATTAACAAAGATTTGAATGGGTCTTGTTTATACATACACCACACACACAAATATGTATATGTATATACACAGGTATAGATATAGATAGGAGGGGATGAATGCTTCAAAGATATTTCCCTGGATTGGAGGAGGGGAAAAAATAAAAAACAAATAAACAAAAAGATATTTCCCTGAGACCTCTATCTGACCTATTACATACATATATGTATACATACACACACACACACACACACACACACACACACACACACATATCTTTCTTATCCATTTCTCCTGTACCTTGTAGACTTTCATGTGACATAAATCTTAAAACAGGATCCCCATAAACAATTGTTTTCCCTTAAACTACAGTTATATGAAATTAAAATGATCTTATCTGGAATGGAATACAGTCTACTGATAATATATAAATGCCCAACTATTTTATGGGCAGCTAGATGGTGCAGTGGCTAGAGCACTGGCCCTGTAGTCAGGAAGACTGGGGTTCAAATCTGGCCTCAGATGTATGTATATGACCCTGGGCAAGTCACTTAACCCCCTATGCTTCAGTTTCCTCATCTGTAAAGTGAGCTGGAGAAGGAAATGGCAAACACTCCAATATCTTTGCCAAGAAAAACCCAAATAGGGTCATAGTCAGACATGACTGAAATGAGAAAGTAACAACTCAATGTTGATACAATAACTTCTCTCCAGTGTATTTTGTACCTGTGGATGTCACAGTTAAAGTCCACATATTGGCAAAAAATCATAAATATGTGGTAAATTATGTCTGCATTGGTATTTCTTTTCTTAAGCCTTACTTGCTTAATGGCTACCTTTTGTTAGAGACATTGAATATTCAGAACTTTAAGCAATGCTTTTTTCTTCTAATAGACTCTTTTTTTTATTATTAGTTTTGTTCTGATAACAAAATGAACATGTAGGATAAGATTGAGACCTGGAGAATATCTTATCAATGTGGTCACCTCTCTACATTAGGCCCTTGTCACCTCTCACTTACACTATGGCAATAGTCTCCTGGAAGAAAATTTAGAAGCCATTTTGTCCAGTCGCCTCATTTTACAGAAGAGAAAACTTGTCCACAGTCACACAGGTAGTAAACAGAAGATACATGCTTCCTATATATAAAAAATCTTGGCAACACCAGAGCCCCACCTATTTTATAGCTTTCTAAAATATTTAGGCTCCCCAGATAGGAGCTGACTAATACCCCCCAAACAATACAAATAAGAAATATTGCTAATTTATCCAGCCTGCACAAATTGGGACCTATAGAGAGAACATAGAAGACTTTTTCAGTAAACTCAGATAGTTCACTTCTATTAATGTTATACAGAAATGCAGCTGTCTCTACTGATTTCCTAGTTATATATCAACAGATGGGATACACAACCAGTGACTATGGTTTGGTTTAACCAAATGTATGTGTATGGTTTGGTTTAACCTGATCTTTTCATCCATAACTAAGGTCATTTTTTTCCGCTTACTTGGGCTGAATCTATCAAAGAAAAAAATTCATGGAAAAATGCATTTTCTCCCCCTCCCAATGAATTGTCAGCCTTATCTTAACTGGAAACAACTAGCCTATTTGAGACATTATTTAATTAATTCTGTGTATCTCTATTTGACTTTTCCATAAAGCAATTTCACCATCTACTGTAAAGATTAAATAAATAAAATGTTTCCAGAGTTCCTCTAGTTTCCAAAGGACATTGTGGTTTCTATGAGATAGCTAATCATTAATTTAAGCAGATAGTTTATCTACAAACCTGGGGGGAGAAAGTCCATGTGGGAACTCCTCCCCACCCAATTCCCTAACTAGATTATGAATTTCTGAAAGGCCCTTGCTTAATATTTCTTGATCTCCACTTTAAGTGCCATGGATATAGTAAATCATAGGATCATATATTTTTATCTGGCAGGAACCTGGCAGCCCACTGAGTCCAACTCTCTCATTTTGTAGATAACAAAACCAAGGAGAAGAGTGGTTAAGGGATTTTCCAAGGTCAATTAGCTAGAGTATGAGGTAGGATTTTAACTCAGGTCTTCTGGACTACAAGCTCTATACTCTTTCTACTGTACCATTTATGCACTTTGTTCAATAAGCATTTGTTGACTGAGTGAAGTAGGTACCAGCTATTTTGAATCTGAGCAAATTGATAGCCACTTTGAGTCCAAAGGCAAGCAACAGATTCCTCTATCTGATTTATGTGTCAAGAATGAGGTATCTCCTCTCTCCCATTTTTGACTTTTTTTAAATAATGGCCCTTTTTGACTAAATGCAGATGGGAGAGGGAGACATTGAAGCTGAACACTAAAAAACCACATGGATCCTCTAGAGACATAGGACATTCAAAATGAAAACCAACTAAATGGGTATCGGTGTGCTGAAAAAGATGCCAAGCAATATGAAGAAGATTAAGATCGTGAGGCGGCAACTGCTTTGGAATAAGGGGTAATCCAGTTCTAATCTTCAGAAGAAAAAACAAGAGTTTCACTTTTCTTGTCATAGTTTTAAGCTCCTACAATTTTTCCTAATGAAGTTAAAAACATTTGGATCAACTGTTGCCATGGCATTTTATTGTGTGTTGTGACATGGACAGCTAAAACAAGTTATAACAAATATTCATGTCACTAAAGAGCATAATAATAATACACCATTCACTTGAAAGTTTGCAAGGCAAGCAGTACAAGTATTATTATCTTCATTTTACAAATTAAGAAACTGAGGCTCTGAGAAATATAAGTGACCTGCAAGTAGGCACCCAAGCTAGTCTAAAGCAAGATTCCAGCCCAGGTCTCCTAAGTTAAACCACTACCTCATGATCTCTCTCTGCAGTAATGTGAGCGAACACTACTTCTCTTACTTCTAGAGTTGGTTGGCTTTTCTCATTTTAGTTTTTATATAGCCTTTTATATGTCAGAAGAGAATTTGTTTATTTCAAGTTGTATATTATCCTTTGTGGTGAAAGTAAAAATAGCAAAGAAGTAAACACTATAGAATTCTAAAAGTTCCAACTCACTACCCCAAATATTCTTACCTTTGTTAGAGACCTTTGGCCTTTTGACAGATCCTCATGGTTAGGATAATTTCTGGACTGTTCTTTTCTTTAGAAAACCCAACCCAGTATCTTTAGCTCTAGGTGATTAAAATGTTTTACTAATAGCATAGAATCAAATATTTAAAGACAAAGTGGACTCTGAGGCCATCTCGTCATACCCCCTCACTTTACAGAGGAGGGAAACTCAATTCCAGAGAGGTTAAGTAACCTGAGATCATACAGATAATATATATCCCATCCAGGGTCTGAATTGGTCTCTTGGCTCCAAAACCATTGTTCTTTCCACTAAGTCCAATTGCTTTGTCTGTAAAATGCCTGTAATCCTATTCTACTTGGTCAATATTATCTTATGCCACTCGTCTTCACCTGCCCAATGCCAAACCAGTTTAATTACCTTTCCCTAAACTGCTAATCCCTATTCCTAAAATATTCTACTTCATATTTCTGCCGCTTCAATGCCTACTTATCTCTCCAGGCTCCATTCAGAGGTCTCTTCTTTCAGGTAGCTCTTCCTGATCCTTCCAAGCCAGAAGTGATTCTTCCTTCTTTTGAATTACCACAATGCTTTTCTGCACCTCTCAAGTACTTTTAGACACTGTTATGTACTATATTGATTTGTGTGCATTTGTCCCCCTAGATTTAAAGTTGCTAGGACCTTAGAGATCATCTAGTTACATCCTTTTCCTTTTTAGATGAAGACATTAAGTGACTAGCCAAAGATGACATGAGTAGTAAATTGCAGAGCTAGGATTTAAACTAGGGTCCTCTGACTCAAAAAAGAAAAAGTATTCTTTCTATTATGCTGCATAACTATACTAGAGTACAAGCTGTCTGAGGGCAATAATATTGTCTTCATCTTTGTATCTTCATGTAGCACTTTTCACAATGGTCAATAAGTGCTTGTTGAATTGAATTTAATATGCACTTTACACAGAGGCAGTGTAGTAGTATAGAGAGAGACTGCCTTGAAGCAAGGGAGACCTGAAATAAAGCATCACCTCTGACACATACTTGCTTTGTTACCTTGAGCAAGTCTCTTAATCTCTCCATGGACTAGGTAGTTCTCTAACACTATATAAGTTGCAGAGAAGGTGGCAACCTGCATTAGTAAAGGTTGGGAGTTCCATATACAAAACCAATGAAATCATAGCTCTAGTTCTTAACCATATTGAACATTAAACTGAATTAACTGAATCAATGTCTTAGTTCAAGTTGCCTAGAATTAAGTGTTGTCCTTCATTTCTCTTCTGAGTCTTTCATTCAGTAATTGCAATATTGCCATTAAGTTTATCAGTTATTGAGTCTCTGACTTTTTCCAATTCCCCTATAAGCTGAATTTCCTACACCTGAATTCCTATCTTCCCAAGACTGTATCCTGATATTCCTGATTTTGATCTGGGAAGTCAGCTCTAATCTTAATCTGGTTTAAACACTTGACCTTCATATGACCCAGTAGATCTCCCTGGAATTCTGATCATTCCTTTCCCAGATCTGGTATCCATTCCCACTGTCCAAGGTACCAAAGCTTGCTTAGTCCATAAATATCCTGAAGTAGAATAATAATAATATTATTTTAACTATACCTAACCAGGTTTTTAAAAGGAAAATAAATTTGTAATGATGAGAGCACACCTCTCACTCTACATTTCGATGGGTGAACATCCTGGGCACCAGAAGTAACTTGGTAACTATTTACATAAAAAAGGTCCCAGACAAATCACTTTCCACTTCTGAATTGGGTATGGTAATAGGTCTAGACTTAGGATTCAGGCTACCCATTTATATTAACAAGTCATTACTGAGTTAGTCAGGGACTTCCTACATGTAGACTCACAGACTCATGCTCTACTTACAAATTGAAATGCTCAGCAAAGATCAAGTTGGTGGACGTGCCTGTGATAGTGGTCAGCCCTCCAATGGTAGAAGAGTAAGTAATGGACAAACACATTAGTTTGCACATCATGTGATCTCTCCGTGTCCGATATCTTCCACCTTCTGAGTTCTGTCCAAGAATAACAACAAAACATTTCCATGAGAGAAGCCTTTATTATATTCCTGGACAATAAGGACACATCTCTCTCACAGAGATGTGGGGAAAATGCTTTGTAAAAAAATGCAAGTTCTCTCATTTCCACCAATATCACTGTATCAGTGCTAGTAACATTCTGCTTAAGACCATCTAATATGTCAGATGAATAGAAAAGCTAACCAGCCTAGTATTCTAGTCTTTAACTATAATGACAAAGAAGGGATATTTTATTGGGGTAGAACAGTCCTACCCAAAGTCATGATGGATATGGTGACGTTCCTGCTGGCAGAGGGAGACAAGAACACTAAACTATCTTAACTTTTTAATTTCTATTTACTAGAAGACTGGCCCACAGTCAGCATCTCTCCTAAAATAAAATTCATTTATTTTGCAATATGTACTCTACTTGAAGATAACTTTCCATATTTGATATAAGTTTTCCCTGAAAGAAAACTTTACAATGAAAAATATCTCAAAATTAAATAAAATGTAAAATAACCCCTGATGAGAAGTAGAAATAAAGCCCATATTCAGTATCCACTGAGTGAAATAGCATTTTATGATAGAATTATGAAATAAATAGATATGAATATATCTATATACATTAAAATATTCATGATACGTATGTGTCTGTGTGTCTCTGTGTGTGTGTGAATATGAAAAGGATCTGTGATTTTGTCACCAGGGAAACTTTCAAGGCTGGCAACTTCCTCCATCAATGCAGATTCCAACCCAACCCACTAGCAGATGACACTGTGCTTACTGCACCAGATCCCAAGACGTTACAGAATGTGGGAAGAGTTGCGTGATCACTTAAAGGAGTTTGGCCTGTGCATTGAATACCCTATAGAGTTTGTCAAGTAGCATGTATACATGGGATAGAGAATACAGATGGACAGTGAACAAGGCCCAGGATTAAGAGGGAGGAGAAGAGCAGGCTGTATTGCTTTTGGGGAATTGAAAAGTACTTTCACTGATCCCAAGCTTCCAGTAACAGCAAAGGTACATCTTTTCAATTTGAACATTTTGCCAGTGTTACTGTATGGGAATGAGACCCAGATTACCATGGCCTCTGGAAAACTAAAATTGAGCAAAGAAGGCAATGGAAAGGTGAACAATGGGTGGAAGCAGACTGCAACATTTAACCACCAAGGAACTCCTAAGAAAAAGTGGAATTGTATGATAGAAAGAGAAGATAGGCTAGCCATGTGGTGAGAGTGAAGGATGGCAAGTAAATGACGGGAATGCTCCACTGCCACTCTTACAAAATCAAAGGAAAGTGAGGAAGGCCTCCAGCATGTTGAGTGGACCCCTTGTGCTGGACTATTGGTAAGACATATGTGAGAGTTGCACAAGATGGACAGACGTGGGTGGACTATAATCTGCATTAATGTAGGGGACTCCTGAATTGATGAGATCACAGATTCATTTGAACATTTAAAAGTACTATTTCAACTATACCTTCTTTCTCATTTAGTCATTTCTCTATCTTCCAACTGAAAGCAACCTTATAGACTCCTTCTCTATGAAGATGACACCAAAATCTACATATTCAGCTCATATTTGTCTCCAGTCCCACATCACCAACTTCTGATTGGTAATTAATATTAGTAGTAATTAAGAAATTAGTTAAGTACTATTAGTAATTTTCTAGCTAGGTATCTCATAGATTTTTCAGACTAAATGTGTCCCAAACATAACACATTATCTTTCATACATACACACACACATTTACACCTATTCTTCTGTCTAACTTTCCTGTTTCTGTCAAGGATAATCATTATCCTTCCAGTCACCCCAGTTGTGACCTCAGAATAATCCCTGATTCTTTCTTCTCCCTCCATCTCCCACATCCAGTAAGTTGCCTATTATTGTTGCTTTTACCTCTACAATATCTTTGACATCTATTTCGTTCTCCCCACTTGTACAACTGCTACTCTAGTTCAAGTCAATACCTCCCACCTAGATAATTATAAAAACTTCCTAGTTAGTCTCCCTGCCTCAAATTTCTTCCTTCTCTGATCAGTCTTTCACATAACTGCCAAAGTGATATTCCCTAAAGTATGAGTGTGTCACTCCCCTGTTCAAGAAGCTCCAGTGTCTCCCAATTTTTAGAATCAAATACAAATTCTTCTTTTTTACCAGTTAAAGCCTTTTACCTGGCTCCAGCCACTTGCTAACCCCTCTTCCCTCATGAGGCATTAATTTCCTCTATGGACTGTGTTCCAGCCAGCCAAAGGGGTGTTAGTTATTTTTTTCTCACACATGACATCTCATATCCCACCTTGTGACTCTGCACAGGTTGTGCCCTTGACCAAGAAAGCCTAGAACACACTTACTTTGCCTCTTAAAATTCCTCATTTCCTTCAAAGCTTGCTGCACCTCCTATGTAAGGCCTCTCCTGATCTCCATACATATACCCTACTGATAGGGGCGCTCCCAAAAGATTAATTAATTTTGTATAATTTTTCTGTGTGTTGATGTTATTTTTCCAATAGAATATAAGCTCCTGGAGGGTAGGGACTATTTTTTTTTATCCTTTCATAATGTTAGTACAGAGTATAATGCCTGACAGTGGATGTGTTAGAAATCCCCAATGAATGAATAAATTACTAATTACCATACCCTGCAGGACCTCAATTAGAACTTTCTGCAAACTACTTATGTATTACATTGCATGATAATTATTTATGTAGGTATTATATTTCCATAATATGTTAATAATTCCGTAGGGGCAGAAGTCAGATTTTATTTAAACTTTATATCTCCCCTAAAGTCTAGTTACAGTGTTTTATACATAGTGGTTGTTAAGAAATATGAAACTTAATTAAATGAATACATTGGGAAAAAGTTGCTGAATTAGAAATGCGGGGATAAAAACAAAAATAGCGTATTTCTTGCATCTATGGCTCCCACAGTTCATTATATATATATCAGGGTAGACATGCCCTCAGTGTGTCTGCATTTAGATTATTCTTATGAAGATTTTGTAGATACAGTAGATGCTTTGTCCCTCCATAATATAAGGTCAGTTTGCATTAGCAAAAGCAAGATGGTGACAGGAGGAGGTAGGGCAGGGAACTAAAACCCAGAAGGTACCAGCCACATAGGAAGTGAGAACCACTGGATAAATTGTCCTCTTTCCGTATCTTCCACCAGCCACTAAGATTGTACTGTGGCATCAAGTAATGGAACTTGTCTCATTGGCCAGAGCTCATGACACTATTCACCAATATCATAAATTCTCTTCTTCTTGAGTGTTGTTCTTTGCAGGATACTCTTTGAAGATCTGGGGAATGTGAGTCAGTAAACTATAATGGATGGACCAGGATTCAAGAGACCTAGATTATGAACCTGGATTTCCCATGAACTAGCCATGTGACCCTGAATAAGTCATTTAGCTTCTGAGGCTTGAATTTTTCTCCTATGGAAAAGGAGGGGGTTGGTTTTGATGATTTTTAAGGCTCTTTCCAACCTATTCTACAGCTGCTAATAGATAATAATCTAATAATCTCCTAATAATCTTCCTGAGTTCAAATCAGGCCTCAGACACTAGCTGTATGACTCTGGACAAGTCACTTAACCCTGTTTGCCTCAGTTCTTTTCATCTGTAAAAAGAGCTGGGGAAGAAATGGCAAACCACTCCACTATCTTTGCCAAGAAAAGCCCAAATAGAGTCACAAAGAGTCCGACATGACTAAAATAACTGAACAGCAACAAAGGAATTTGAGGAATCTGAGAGCTTCTGAAAAAAAAGTATATGTACCTCTTACTCCTTTACATTTAAAGATGGCAGGGATGGTCAGAACAAAACAATTGGGATTTAGCATTTTGTATATGCATAGCTATTTGTTTGGAAGGATTAGGTTTCATAATATAGAGAGCTGAAAGGCAGCTAGGTGGCACGGTGGTTAGAAAGGTCAAGAATCAAGAAGACCTGAGTTCAAATCTGCCTCAGACATTTCCTATCCATAGGCAAATCCCCTACCCTCTCTCAGCCTCAGTTTCTCATCTGTAAAATAGGCATAAGAAATAGCACCTCCTTCCTAGGGTTCTTAAGAGGATCAAATGAGATAAAATTTGTAAAATGCTTTGCAAACTGTAAAGTGCTATAAAAATGTTAGCTATAACTATTATTAATTATTATTACTAGCAGAAAAGGACTTCTGAGATCACAACCTTCTAATTTACAAATGAGAAAACTGAGGCCCAGATCCCAGGGACTGACCCAATTTTATTCAGGTGATAAGCAGGAGACTTAAGATTCAGATACAGGTACTCTCCTAATCCAGCGCACTCTTCGTTACTCCTCCACCACATTGAAACTGTAATTTAATTAGACTTTTTTATCTCTATTTTACCTGCTTCAAATTCTTAATATTTGGAGTTAGGAAATCATTTTCTAGTACAAACAGTCATGTTGCTTGCAGTTATACTCTCACTTGTTTCACTGTGGGCATTTAGACCCATAATATAACCAAAACATTAGCCATCAATATGACCTTTTCTGCTCTATTCACTCCTTTTTTCTTTTTTTCTCTTTTCCTCCTCCTCCTCCCATGATGGTTCTACTATGACTAGGCTTTCATGGAGTAGTTTAGGAACCTACCATTCCACTTTAACATTGCTTCAGTGAGGAAATACAGTCTGCCATGAGAAAGGAATAGGGGATCTTTTTGTTGTTATTGTTTCTCAGTCATTTTTCAGTCATGTCTGACTCTTTGTGACCCCCATTTGGGCTATTTCCTCCTCCAATTCATTTTACAATGAAGAAACTGAGGCAAATAGGGTTAAGTGACTTACATGGGGTCATATAGCTAGTTAAGTATCTAAGGCCAGATTTGAATTCAGGAAGATAAGTCTTCCTAACTCCAGGCCCAACACTCTATCTACTGGACCAACTAACTGCCCCGGTAGTATCTTAGAGAAAGATTATGTTCTCAGTTGTCATGGTATCCAAGAAGATATCAATA